TCACACACATACCCCCCTCCCTCCCGCCCCGTGCACATCACTGATGTCACATCTCTATTCCCCAGCATCCGGGCCAATCAAGCGATGGCGGGGCCTCGCGCGCATGCAGCTGTCAGTCGATCCGCAGCACAGTTTGCACGCGAGAAACCCCCTTCCCTCTCCATGACAAAGCCAGCTCCTTCTCAGAGAAGGCGCTACCCTCAGTAGACACTGCGTGGGGCTCCCGTAATGCCTGACGGCCCCACCACGAGGGACAAGGACAGTGTGACTGTAGTGACCACTGCAACTGGGGTGCCAGGCAGGGTGTCCGCCCCCTCCCGAGTCAAACTCATTGGCCCCTATGCCAGCCCGGAGGCCGAGCGTGGACAGTGCTGCCAGTGACAGGCCGCTCTGCAGGAGGAGCTGGCCGGCCCGGGTGCCCGTCCGAGGCTGGGAGAGCCACGCTTGGGGCAGGGGGAGACCAGGACAGGCATGGCCGGAGATGTCTCTCAAAGCCCTCCGTCGCACTCAACTCCAGTTTTTGTGTTTTGGGACAATTACTTTAGAAAATAAGTAGGTCGTTTTAAAAACAAAAATTATTGATTGCTTTTTTGTAGTGTTCAAAAAAAAGGTTCTTTGTGTATAGCCAAATGACTGAAAGCACTGATATATTTAAAAACAAAAGGCAATTTATTAAGGAAATTTGTACCATTTCAGTAAACCTGTCTGAATGTACCTGTATACGTTTCAAAAACACCCCCCACTGAATCCCTGTAACCTATTTATTATATAAAGAGTTTGCCTTATAAATTTACATAAAAATGTCCGTTTGTGTCTTTTGTTGTAAAATCAAGTGGTTTTTTCATAAGGTTCTTTTACTATTTGAAAAGATGGGCAGCACGCAGTTTTATTTTACTTTTGTAAGTTTTTAATACATGTGAAAGCATGCCTTTCTAAGTGACGCGTTTGCACCTTTTGTTGGGAAGTACTGTATCCTGTGCTGTCAGCATTCTCGATAAATCTCTCTGTGAAAGTGACTCAAGGTCTGGGCTTTCATTGTAAGACAGAAGTCCCCCTCCAGCTCACGTGACAGCATGGTGGCGTTGCCTCACTTGATCTGGCGGGCCCTGCACACGGATAGCCACAGTCAGGACTGCCGTGAGAGGAAGGGGAAACCCGCTTCGCATGCTGGCCTCCTTGGCATACCCGGGTGGGTGGCTTTCCAGGCACCCTGCTCCGGTGTGGGACCCAGCCCGAGTCTGCCTGCAGCGCTGTCCTGACCCGTGGGGGAGACCTCCTCGGGCTGGACGTGCTCCCCAGGCCCTGGTCCTGTGCCCCACACCGGTCGACACGCCCGGCCTCGGCTGACTGCTAGCCTGGCATGCTGATTAGGCAAGGGCATGCTGAGGGGCTGCCCAGAGGAGCCCTGATGTCAGTCCCTGGTTCCTGCAAGGGTTTGGCTGTCAGGCGCTGCCTACCTGGGTGGAGGAGATGGCTGCACGGCGCAGCAGGACTGTGGATTTGCTGAGTCCAGCTTCATGTGCAAATGTGGGCACGCCTACTAAAAGGTGCCCTCCCTAGCCTGGGCCTTGTACGTTAAATGAAAGAGTTGGAAATTCAGCCGGTGTGCATCGAGCACCTCTTGTGTTGTTCCGGTCTGTTCCGGCAGCTGACGCTCCCGTGTGTGCAGGTGTTGACTGAGTCCCTGTTCCCAGAGGTTAGTTAGGGTGTGTGCGGTGATCATTTCAGATCGTTGAGTTGGTACATCTCATTAAGGGCTGGCCCCGTGAGAAGCAACTCGGGACCAGGGCGTGGCTGGCATCCTCTGAGAGTGGCCACAGTGGCTGCAGCTTCCGGGAAGAGGCGCCAGCAGGGGCCAGCCGGGGACCTTGGGCAGAGATCATGTCTAGGAAAACACCCTAAGTCCCTGGGAGGACAGGTTAGGGGTGGGGAAGCTCTTTGCCGTCAGGATCAAGAGGGCAAGGGGGACTGTCATGGGAACCTGTTGCCCCACAAGCACGCGTCCCTCTGGACACAGGACAGGAAGGCGCCCTCGCTGCCTGTGGGGGCGCCGGCCAAGTGGCAAGGGGCTCCGTGCGCTCAGAAGGATGCAGTGGGAGGACGGGGACAGCAGCTGCGGCGGCTGTGCTCGCGGGGCTGGAAACGCTGTCACCCCTGTCCAGCTCAACCTTGTTGGTAAGGCCTGGGAGAGCAACACGGGCAAACTTGTGGCTGTGGAGGCGGCAAAAACGCGGTAGGGGCCGCCTAGAGAGTTCTGAACGCTGAAGGCTACGGACGTGCACAGGGGCTCGACGTGAGGGCTAGCAGGGGCTCGTGGTAACAGCCCGTGGGCGGCTGAAGAGCTGGGCCTCCATAGGAGCCTCACGAAGGGCCGATGCAGGGAGGTGCAGTGGCCGCCGCGTGCCCGGGAGGCCATCCGGGCAAGCCGAGGCAGGGAACCTTGTCGGAAGCCCGCGCACATCCATCCAGGTAGGAGGCCGTCCGGGTGAGAGGTCGTGGGGAGGGCACTGGGCTGTAGACGCCGAGGACGACGGCGGCATGGGCGAGAGAGACCCGTGTGGCTAGGGCATCAAGCAGGCTGGGGCGCAGCGGGAGAAGCTGCCGGACTGGGCCGTCCTCGCAGGCGGCAAGGGTGACCGGAAAAGGGGGCACAGCAGGAGCCGCGCCGTCAACACGTGCCTGTGCGAGCGGGAAGAAGCCGGCAACGGAGAGAAGCAGAGCAGGAGGGGGCCGGGAGCCACCGGACCGGCCGGCGGGAGGCGCCTTTCTGCGGCCCCCTGCGCCACCCTCCTGCCCAACCCTGCCACCGCCGAACCCCGCCACCCTCTGCCGCTCCCCAGCAAAGGCGGAGCCCGGCGCCGGGCCGCCCCTCGGGATCGCCCCA